CCTCTCTGACATGTCCATCCTCAGCTTCCTCCAGTGTCACAGCGACTTGCAACACAAATTTGAAGAACAACACCCTACAGCCCAGAGGACTCAACATTGAGTTCTCCCATTTCAAATAACCTTCCCACCGACCCCCAGCTCCCTTTCAGCCCCACCTCCTCCCTTACGTTCCACCTCCAGCCACCAATCAGATTCATCCCTCCCATTGACCAACCAGGATATACCAACTACCGCTGTTCACCCATCATCACCATTCCCCTACCCCCTCCCTCCCCGTTTATCTGCAGCTCCCCATAACCCCACATCCAGTCCTGAAGAAGGTTTATGCCCAAAACATTGACTGCTCCTTTCCTCCAGATGCTGCCTGGCCTACTGTGTTCTTCCAGCCTCCTGTTTGTCTACCATGGATTCCAGTTTTTTTGTCTCTCGGAGTAGATTGGTAATCCTTTCTGTTCTTTGTCATTTGTTAAAATTAAGTCTGTTACAATAATAGTTATTCTCTGTTGACAACAAATCCTGAAGTGAATTGCCTTTGTCCTGAGAAGCAGTCAGCCAGGTAAACTGGTCATCCTGATGATCTCATTCAGATTTTATCAATGTTAGGACAGCTTTTGGAGAAGCAGGACATGATTTTCAGTGCATTCTGCCCATTGAAGTCATGATGCAATGATTTTAAAATATTCAAAGAATCTGCTTCCAACACCTTTGCAGGAAGGGAGTATCCAAAGACTCACAGTTCTCTGTGAGAAAATATTTCTCCTTATCTTCACTTTAAATGGTGCCTCCACATTTTGAAATAGTAAGTCAGTGTGCGAGATTCACCCATTCAAGGCAGCATACCTTGTCCCCTCAACATCTTTTATGATTCAAACAAGTCACCTTCTTCCTCTTCTATCTCCAGTGGGCTCTAGCCCAGACTGTCCAATCTGTAGCAATGTCTGTTGGTGATCTTATCAAATGCCTTTTGGAAATCCAAGTACACTACATCTACAGATTCCTCTTTATCAACCCTGCTTGTTACCTCCTGAAAGAACTCTGAGAAATTAGTCAAACATGATTTCCCTTTCACAAACTAAGTTGGCTCTGCCTGACTTATTGGAGTTTTCTAAATCTCCTGCTATTGGCTCCTTTGTAATGAACTCTAGTAGTTTCCCACTGTGACACAATTAGGCTAACAAATTGTTGCCGAGCTTCCTGCCTCGTGTCCCCCTTCATTCTGAAATAAAGGTTGATGTTTATTCTCTCAGTGATACCACTAACTGCAGACTATCCGGTCATTATCAACTTTCTGTCTATGGGATTTTGCTGTGTACAAGCTGAGCATGTTTCCAGCAACTTTAAAAACAGATTTCACTGGTGGGAAAACGCATGAAATGTCCTGAGCTCCTGAAAGGTCCTTTTGAAAATTGAGATGTTTCTGTCTTTTTGTGGCTGCTTGTCTGCCTGTGCTTCTATACTTTATTCTTTCTGAGTCAGTCTGGCTAAAGTCCTCTTACCTGGTAACTGTAAAAGTGATGTCCCATCAATCGATCTCAACTTGTTACCGCTCAGTGCTAGCTGGGTAAGTTTAGACGTATGTTTGAAGATATCCTTTGGAAGTTTGTCAAGACCATTATTTCTCAGGTACAGCTCATGTAAATTTCCCAAACCTTCCAGACTGGCAGCAGTGATCGTGCTGAGCTGGTTATTGTCCAAGACCAATATCTTCAGGCTGCTGAGTGGCTGAAAGGTGCCTGGTGGGATGTGGCTTATACAATTGTGGTCCAGGTTGAGGAAGTAGAGCTTGCCCAAGCCTGTGAAAGATTTGCTGAATATCTTCTGAATCTTATTGGAGGCCAGGTCCATGATTCGGAGGGCACTCAGGGCCTGGAAGACATTGGGTGGCAGAGCAGTGATTTCATTCAGTGGCATGTCCAAGTCAGACAGGCTCCAGAGGCCAGAGAATGCTCCTGCTCTGATGGACCTGAAACGGTTTTGGCCCAGCATCAGGAAACGAAGACTGGACAGACTTTGAAAGACCTTGTGGGGAAGTCTGCTGAGTTGGTTACCATGGAGATTAACCAGTATTAATTGGCTGGCGCCAGAGAAAGCCTGAGGATGGATTGAACTGATGGAGTTACGCTCAAAGTTGATGCTTTCGGTATGTGGCATTCCCTGAAGGAATTTAGCAGGAAGGGTTTGCAAGAGATTCTCACCTTTGAAAAGGAAGCAGCACACATGAGCAGGTGAGAACAGATCAGGATGCTGCTGTGGTAATGTGCAGCTAGTGTGCTAGCACTGACATGTCTTACCAACATCAACAACAACATTACTACCACTTTTAACAGAGTAAAATATACCGAGCAGCTTTGCAGCAAAGTTGGGGATATTAGGATATATTAGATATTAGTTCAAAAAGGTTGGGTTTGAACATTATAAATAGGAGCAGGAGCAGACATCTGGCCCCTTGAGCCTGCTCCACAATTCAGTTGAAAACATTGTCACCCTCCATCCCATATACTCGCATGATTCTCACATACCTTCAGAAATATAGAAAATAGGAACAGGAATAGGCCATTCATTCCCTTGATCTGAGTCCACCATTCGATGTAATCACTTTCTCTGCTGAGGAACCAGGGGAAGTGCTGCCCTCTGTTGGGACAAGGCGTCATTGGCAGAGCTGATGCCATGTTTAAATCCCAGCTCCAAAGGCGCTGCGAGTCAGGAAAAGCCCCTTGCATTCTGTTACTACAGGAGGCAGGAAAACTGGCATCATACTGCCATTTGGGACCACAAGATGCTGCCAATCAGAGTGGCACACAGGAGACTCCTTCCTTTTCCAGCTGTCTACCAGAGGACATGCCACACAATGGAGCCACACAGCATTGAGGTAGCAGCCCATGACAGTGCAATGGCTGGGCTGGAACAGAGCATACAGCAGTGCAGGAAGAAGGTGAAAGCTCTTCTATACTCCGCAAGGTGGCACCATTTTCTCCCTGCCACTCCCCAGGCTCACCCCTCACTCTAACCCTGTCACTGCTCACACCTATCACCAAGGCTCACAGAATGGGATAGGGTGGGAGCAGGCCATTCGGCCCATACTGACCCTCTGAAGAGCATCCCACCCAGACCCACCCCCTCTTCCCTATCCCATAACCCTGCATTTCACACAGCCAATCCACCTAACCTGCACATCTTGGGACTGTGGGAGGAAACCAGAGCACCCAGAGAAAACCCACGCAGACATGGGGAGAATGTGCAAACTCCACACAGACAGTTACCCGAGGGTGGAATCGAACCCGGGTCCCTGGCGTTGTGGGCAGCAGTGCTAACCACTGAGCCACTGTGTGAGTACAGCTCTGACATTTGTATACATTATGTCACTAAGTGCGTCTCTCCCACCACAGCCTCCCAAACTACTAACTCTTGCTGCCCTCTGTGCTTCCCAGTCACTGGGGGCCCCTTCCCACCCCTCCTACTCAGATGTCACCATAAGCTACTCTGCCATCCACTTCCATCAGGCTCAACCCCATACCATTGCATCATTGCAAGAAAAACTCCTGTCATAACCAGGCTGAGGGCCGAGACCTGCTGGGGGGAGGTGGATATTATGCTCCTCACCCCAAATAAGGTGAAAATGCTTGGTTTGGTGGGACTGGGGGGAATGACCATTGATTTGGTGACACTGAGAGCTCCATGGGCAGTAAGCATCCTCATGCTGCTCTCTCATTAATGCCAGTGCAAACTCATTTTTACGCTGAGCATGCTTTACCCCTTAGCACAAGCAGTTCCTTCTCTTCTTATAGAGGTGGGACTGGGACTGGGACACAGTTAACTGTAAGGAAAAGGAGGCCAGTGCCATCCAGACTCAGTTCCATCTCCATCTCTGAGGAGGAGGTCAGTGAGCCCTCAGAGAATGCATTGGTCATGCTTCCTCCTGCGTTATCCTCCAGCTCTGAGACTTCCGCCTCAGGGAACACTTCATCTTGGTCAGGTCCTGACCACAATCCCTGACAAGGTTACAGTGTTGGTCAAGGATAAACTGCCAGAGACCAGGCGCCAGATCAGCCCCAGGTAGCAGATGATTGCTGGTCAGATACAATCGCTGGATTGGAGGATACAGGAGGCCACTGATGGCACCAGCATTAAGCTGGCTCTGGGCTACATGTGTCCAACTGCCTGTGTGCACACACTGGCTAAAACCATGGCACTCTCTGTGTCTGCATCTTTCTGTAGACAGGCTTGTGCTCCAGTGCTGTAGCTGGTGCTCAATGGCAAGGTAAGAGAGGGATGAACACAGAACATAGCACATAGAACAGGACAGCACAGTACTGGCCCTTCGGCCCAAGATGTTGTGCCAACCTATTACCCTACTAAGATCGATCTACCCTGCATACCCTACATTTTACTATCCTCCATATGTCTGTCCAAGAGTTGTTTAAAAGTCTCTAAAGTATCTGCCTCCACTACCACTGCTGGCAGCGCATTACACGCACCCACCACTCTCTGTGTGAAGAACCCACCTCTGACATCTCCCCTATACCTTCCTCCAATCACCTTAAAATTATGCCCCCTCGTAATAGTCATTTCCGCCCTGGGAAAAAGTCTCTGGCTATCCACTCTATCTATGCCTCTCATCATCTTGTACACCTCTATCAAGTCACCTCTCATCCTTCTTCGCTCCAATGAGAAAAACCCTAGCTCCCTCAACCTTTCCTCATAAGACCTGCCCTCCAGTCCAGGCAGCATCCTGGTAAATCTCCTCTGCACCCTTTCTGAACATTCCACATCCTTCCTATGATGAGGCTACCAGAACTGAACACAATATTCCAAGTGTGGTCTAACCAGGGTTTTATAGAGCTGCAGCATAACCTCACGGCTCTTAAACTCAATTCCCCTGCCATGATGAGGGACCTTGACTTCAGTCTGCATGCCCATTTCCTCTCGGATTGCAGCAGGCACCTAGACAGAGGAGGAGCCACACACAGGTCCATCAGAAGCGTTATCTCAGGACATTCCAGAGTGCCCAGCCCCTCCTCCTGCTCATCCTGTCCACTGCCTGTGATGCTGAAGCCTGCAGAGGAGAAAGGGTCTGCATCAGGACAGGAGGCTCTCAGCAGGCCTTGATCCTCTACACCCGAATGTTCCCAGGGGACAGTTAGCCAAGGCTTCCAGGCCAGAAACGTTAACAATAAATCAGGCTCCCTCCACCTCAGATGGGGACATCAGGGCTGAACCCATGCGTAATGAGAGGGAAAGGAAGAAATTCATTCACCAAGAGCAGACAGCTCATAGTAAATGTGCTCTTTAGTAAATATATATTCACTGGCACTAATGAAATGTCTGCTCCAGTTTCTTTGTCGCTGTTGGACCTGTGAAATTGTACCACTTTGAGCCTTTTCAAACATTGCAATGATTAAGGAAATTGTAATGCACAAACATGACTCATCTCTTACAACTGGCTCCTTGACTTCAGATAGTGTTCGGTGTCAGGGGTCCTTGCACTGTGACGTTAATGCCTCAGCCAAGATTGAGGGGTTAGGTTTAGGGTTACGATTAATTTGGAGACACTGAGCCCAAAGTAACATTTTGATAATACGGTCCCTGCGCATGTCATTCCACATGCACAGCCATATTGTGAGTGAGACACACAGTAAGTGATGGTCCACACATCTCGAGAGGGCAAATTTCATCCTGTATCGGCTTGTGAGAGACATGCATAGCCAGTCAGGACTGGGAGATGTACACTAAGCTGCTCATGTCACCACTATACCTCAGCACAATGGTCTCTGTCACCTTCAACACTGTTCTACAGGATGCTCAAACATATCAGGGCATTGTTCCAAACTCTGAAATGTTCAAGGCTAACTAAATCTAACTAAATAAAGGGAAATGCCTCAGTATTCCTTCCTACCTGCTGACTGAAGCCTTAAGAGCTTCATAACCGCAGTGCCAGGCAAGGTCAGTGCACCATCTCATTGAATATACTTAACAACCCAGCAGTCACTGCTATACAAAACCCTGGTTAGAGCCCATCTGGAGTAGGATTGAGACAAAGAGAAATTTCTTCACCCAGAGATTAGTGTACCTGTGGAATTCACAGAAAGCGGTTCAGACCAAAACATTGCTTTTAAGGGGTTAAATATAGTTCTTAGGGCTAAAGGGATCAAAGGTTAAGGGGACTGAGCTGGATGATCAGCTGTGATCATATTGAATGGTGGAGTAGGCTTGAAGGGCTGAATGGCCTACTCCTGCTGCTACTTTCTACGTTTCTTGTTTTACTGTGAGCAGATCTGGGCACCACACCTTAGGAAGGATATATTGGTCTTGGGAAGGAGTACTGCATAGGTTTACAAGAATGATACTTGGACTTCAGGGGTTAAGTTCTGAGGAGTGATTATATCAATTAGATCAGTTTTCTCTAGAATTTAGAAGGTTATAGGGTGATTTGATTGTAGTCTTCAAGATATTAACAGGAAAAAAAAACAGGCTAGATAATGATAAACTATTCTCACTGGTTGGGGATTCTGTAACTGGGGAGCATAGTCTAAAGGTTAGGACCAGATCATTCAGGAGAGATGTTAGGAAGTACATCTGCATACAAAGGGTATAGATGTTCTGCATTCTCTTCCACAAAATGGTATGGGATCAGTTGTTAATTTTAAACCTGAGATAGACTTTGTTTTCCTTAAACAAAAGGATTGAGGGATATGGGCCAATGGCAGGGATATGGAGTTAGGCCACAGATCTCAATGAATGGTAGAACAGGCTTGAAGGGCTGAATGTCCACCTCCTGTTCCTATGTTCCTAACTGTTTCCTGCAGCAGGAGGGTTGAAGAAGCAGATAGGAGAGGAGGAGATACTTACTTCACACAGCCAGATATTGTGATCGGGAATTTACTGACTGGAAGGAGGTGGTAACAGAGTCAATAGTAATGTTCCAAAGGGAATGGGATATATACTTGAAAGGGAAATATAGACCAGTCAACGGGAAAAGGGCAGGGGTAATGAAACTAATTGGATCCATCTATAAAAGGGCTGGCATAGGCAGGATAAGCTGAGTGCCCACTTTCTGTGCATGATTTCATGACTCATCCTTCGATCGCTGTCACTGTGAGTAGGTCAGAAATATTCTCAATCAGTTACAGTGGGGGATCTCTGAGGAAGGCCTATTGCATTGTCCTCATGCACCTACATGTCAGCCTACCTGTGTGAGCTATTCATTTAATTTGACTTATTGTTGTCATGTGCACGTAAGTACTGTGAAAAGTTTTGTTTTGCGAGCAGTACAGGCAGATCATAACTTACAAAGACATAAAGATCATAGGGTGCTTAGACAGAGCAAGGCTGCACTGCACAGGAGGTGCACAAAGCAAGATCAACATTAAATTTGAAATTTGAGAGGTCCTTTCAGAATTCTAATAACAGTGGGGAAGAAGCTGGTCTTGAACCTGTTGGTAAGTGTGTTTAAGCTTTTGTATCTCCTGCCTGATAGAAGAGGTTGGAAGAGATTATACCTGAGGTGGGAGGGATCTTTGATGATGATTCACAATGCAGTGTGTGATCCAGTGGCAATACCTACCCATTCTGAGAAGCCAGGAATCCTCAGGGAGCTGAGCTGGCATTGCCTTCAGGCCTTGCCGATAGCAGTCCACCTCGGTGCGGTTGATGGTGGGTTTCCAGCTGCAGCTACACTCCTTTGGACATTGTCCTGCTATTGTCTGATACACACCAAGAGCAGCCCACAGAAGGCACAGTACTAGAACCATCCTCCTAGCAGGCTGCAGGAAAGAGAAAGGAGCACAGGCACTAGTTAGTGTGTGTGTTTCACTATTGGGAGGCTATGTGTCTGCCTCACCACATCACCCTGTGGCTATAGAGGGAGATGGAGAGAGAGCGAAACCACTGCACACCCACTGGAGTCTCAGTCACTGAACTGACAGAAAGAGCACAGTTTGTACAACATCCCGAAGTGTTCCCTCTCAATAAATTATCTTTTTTAATATGTAGACACAGTTATACTGTAGGCAATGCAGCAGCCAATTTCTGCACAGCAAGCTGCAACAAATAGTGATGAGATGATAAATGGATAATGCTTTCTTTAATGAGGTTTGACTGAGGAATAATATTGGGCTAAACAGCAGAAGTAATTCACCAATTCCTCTTCAAAATTGTGTTTTTTCATGGAATCCAAAGAGACCTGGCGCGGCAAAAAAAACCCAGAAAGTGCTGGAGAAACTCAGCAGATCTTGCAGTATTGGCGGAGAAAGAAACAGGGATAACATTTTGAGTCCAGTATGACCCAATGGGGCCTCAGGTTAATGTCTTATGTGAAAGATAGTACCTCTACCAGTACAGCCCTCCCTGGGAGTGCCAGCTTCAAATATCAAACCCACAAGCTTTTAACTCAGAGCTGAGAGTACCCCCAACTGAGCCATGGTTAACAACAAATGCAGCATCCCATCAGTGCACAGTGAGATCCCACAGATGATGGTTTGATTGAAGGAGGAATGTTTACTCAGATACTGGGGAGATCTCAGCAGCCTATTTCAATGATGGCATGTTCAGCTCTCTGATGGAACAGGTAGAATGTACCTCAGCTAATTCTCTCCATTCAAAGACACAGCTCTCACAATGATCCCAACCTGCTCCTGACAGAAATTATCAATGTTAGAAAAGGAGTGATGAAACCAGCCAGGAATAATTACCAAGGTGACAGTGTTTGACACCCGGACAGGAGAGTAAAAATGCTACAAACTGCAGAGTAACCGGCTTTAGATTCCTCACATAACCTGAGGCTGAGGTAGATTGCTGTTTTAGCATTTCACTGCATGTTTAAAAATACAAAGTATGAAAACCATTTCATTTTACTATCTACAAGTTTCACAATCCGAGCAATGGGAATCTCCAACCTTGGGAAATGGAAACAGCCTCATGTTTTCTGCACATTGATTGAAAAATAAAATCACGTGTAATACCTGTTAAAAGAAAAAAAAACTGAACTGCCAGCAACATGGCCCATACCTCAAACTGTCTGGCAAGCTGCAGGTTAGCAGCGGTGATCCCAATCAGCAGGAGACTGTCCTTCCTACACACTGCGAGCAAAGTCAGACTGCAGGGTTTTACAATCGTGATATAGTTTAGGGGTAAATAGTGGGAGGGCTACAGCTGATGTTACAGCATTGAAATGACTGCAGGCCGGCAAAATCCAGACTTTGGGGTGGAACACTGGGGCGTTCTTCTGATGTTTGACAGTAATGATCTTTCTGAGGACTGCAGTTAAAGAGAGAGATGTGGCTCAGAGTGCAGGTGCAGAGGACAGTGTGCTGAATGAATGGGGGAGCAGACAGATTACTGATGCCAGACAGCACAGTGGTTAGCAGGAGCAGCTGTTATGGTTAGATAGTTTGCTTGTGTCTATGGAGAACAATGGCATATGTTGTGTGAAAGCCTGGAAAATATCCAGAATTACCTAAGGCCGGGAATTTGGAAAAACCATCAGCTTTTATGGCAGGATCCGTACAGAGGCCAGGTCTGATGTGCAATCAGCAAGACATGTGGACTGTGACGTTGTAATTTACTTTTAGGGATAAAGATCCATTTACTTTGCCTTCCAACATCCTGGCAGTCACATGATACAACAGTAATGGAGTTGTTGATTGATGCCAGCAGTCAATCTCTATAAAACTATAACAGGCTCACAGGTGAGATGAGGGAGACCCCATCCTCCACCAACCGTGGTAGTGAGAAACTTTGGAATATCTGTCCAAAGTGACATATTCTTCTCAACAACTCAACACCCAGAACACACCATACCTCAATGCATTCAGATCCAAGATCCTAAATGCCACTTTCTAGAAGAAAACTCGAATTGGAATTCGAATGGACGTGGAGAGAGAAAAATCATAGATTGCCTCTGGAGCACAGTGGCTCAGTGGTTAACACTGCTGCCTCACAGCACCAGGGATCCAGGTTCAATTCCACCCTTGGGTGACTGTCTGTGTGGAGTTTACACATTCTCCTGTGTCTGCATGGGTTTCCTCCCACAGTCCAAGGATGTGCAGGTGAGGGTGGACTGGCCATGGGAAATTGTCCCATAGTGTCTGGAGATGTGTGGGCTAGGTGGGTTAGCCAGGGGAAATGCAGGGTTACAGGTACAGGGTAAGGGCATGGGATGCTCTTTGGTGGGTTAGTGCCGGCTGAATGGCCTCTATCTCCACTCTGGGGAAGCTGTCACCAAAAGAATTGTTAGTTTTACCATAACCTGTTCGAGTTTGGAATAGGTCAGATTAATAATACAAGTGCCAGACCTACTAAGTTTCTCCAACACTTTCTGTATTTATTTCAGGTTTCCACAGTAGTTTGCCATATTGTTTTGGTCAGGTAACCCCTGCTGCTATTTGAAAGCTAAAAGCAACAGAGAACCATTGGAAACTTCAGTACTCGTACAGTAAACCAGTAAAGGACAGAACACCACTTGTAGAAACTGCTGGTGAAGGTTATAATCGAAATGTGTGTGTATGTGTTTGACAGGCCGTTGAACCAAAACAGCAACATGTGCAGGAGGCTCAGGAAGCCCTGGAGATCGCAAAGGAGAATCTTAGAAAGAAACATGAAAGTCTGAGACTGGTAGGAAACTGTTAGCTTCACTTAAAGCTCCCTTCCTTTCGCAGGTCCCAAGCACCAACTCCCAGCCCCATAGATAGAATCATAGTCAGACTCCATCATGTCTTTGTACAGCTCCAGCACGGGCACTTACATTCACACTCATGTACTTTTAACATATTGTTACGGTCCCTATTCAGACTGATTATCTTAAAACTAAGGAAACCCATGATGACAACAGAAGAAAAAACTTAATGAGATTTCACATTTTTGACTTTTCACTGAAACAAGGAAATTAAAATCAACATAAGTAAACATTAATGAACCAGGAGTTGACACATTAATCAAACAATAAAGATACAGGTACGCAATCAAAATATGTCTTACAAACCACTTATGTCAGATATATAACATTATTAAAACATTAGATAGACATTTCTGTCAGATATATAACATTAAAGGGATAGATTCAGGTGAGCTCCAGACTCAGTAAACCTTCAGCTCTCTCTACAATGCCTGACAGGAAAAGGTCTGTAATGAAGGAGGCTGGTTTCAGCCTTACCCCAGCCTTGTTCCCAGTCCCAGTCCCAGTCCCAGCCCCAGTCCCACCCCTGTTCTCAGTCCCAATCCCAGTCCTAGTCCCAATCCCAGTCCCAGTCCCAGTCCCAATCCTAGTCCCATACCCAATCCTAGTCCCAGTTCCAGTCCCAATCTCAATCCCAATCCCAGCCCCAATCCCAGTCCCAGTCCCCGTCTCAGCCCCAAACTGAGTTCCTGCCCCTGTCTCAGTCACACTCTGCTGCATAAACCATTTTTTTCTGTTGACCCTGAGGCTCATCGCTCAGACAGATCTCAGTCTCCTGGTCTATGTCAGTGTTTGTACCTGACACAACAGCCATGTTTACTAACCTGACCAATCCTTTGGGTAAGCCAGAGCATCAGCATTTGTGTTGTCTCAGTGTTTCTCTCCTGTAGATTGAGAATCACCAGCAATCCCTTCAGCAGATCTTCAATGACACTGTGCAGCAGAAGGAGGCCATGGCCAATCGCAAGTTACTCACCACGACCAGGCTCTCGAGGGCATCCATCCTGATCACTGCTCTCAGCAATGAAAAGGTGACAACTTTCAATCTATTCTCGTTCAGCAAGGAACTGGAAGAGAGAATGAGAGAGAGACTGAAACAGGGACAGGGAGAGGTACAGAGAGGGAGAGACAGACAGGGACAGGTACAGAGAGGGAGAGAGTGAGACAGGGACAGGTA